CCCCCCCCCCCCCCGGCTAACAGCAGCTAGCACACTTCTATTAGCATTAGCGGTTAACGGAAGTCTTACCGGGTGTCCCGGGTGTCAGGGGCCCGGACACATCGGCACAGCGGCGGCAGCAGCAGCAGCCACACACGGAGAGCTCCCACCGACGCAGCGTCCATCGTGAGAGTGACCCGAGGACGAGTCCGCGCTCCGCTGTTTGTTCCCGCACCCCGCGGAGGGCACCGGGCCGGAAGTACACACACAGCTTCCGGTTACCTTAGAAAATAAAAGCCAAGGCAGTAGCTATATGTAGATAAAAATAATTTAAAAAGATGTTTGTGAGTGTTACATTACTTTATTTATTAGTTAGGTTTTATTTATGGTGTGATTTTGTATATTTGAAGTTATTGTAGTTGGACCCTATTTTAAAATGATTGGACTCTATTTATTTGTTACTCTTGTACGTTTTAAATTGTTGTGGTTGGTTTTATTCCATTCAAGCGTCAGTCCTGTAGGATGCAGAGATTTATGAACTTGACAACACACAGAGAGAGGAAGTGAATGAAAACAGTGCAACTTTAAGCGATGCATTATTTATAATTCAAGATTTCTGACAGAATTAGTATTGATCAATGATACACTGGGTTACATTCTGATTTCAGCCCTTTTTTTTAAAAAGATGCTTTCAAAATTAATTAAAAACAAAAAACTGCCACCATCAATGAGAACATAAAAACGTTGAGCAGCAACAGCTCCCATATAAAAACCAAAGTGACAGAACAGTGACCTCTGTTTCAGCTGTCACAGGTTTCCTCCTCAGTAGAAATACATATATCAGGTTTTCCTGTTTCTAAAACATCAGGATCTGCAGCTGGAATCAGTGACTATTTCAGTCCTGCAGATGTTTGCTGTGTTCACACTGAGCAGCGGCAGCTTCCATCCATCACGAGGTTTTTACATTCAAGCTCCGACGATTGGTCGATAAAGTGTTTCATTATTAAAACATTTTTTATCAGCAGCTCAACTTAATCACTCGCTTCTTTCAAATGAGTTCTAATCACTCGGATCTGTTCAAGTTCCTGATTTATTTGGTGTGAAGTAGTTATTTGATGATGTCACGACTGACAGCTGAGACTGATGTGTACAGGTGGGACCTTGATACCAAAGCTCCGCTCCACAATCACCCAGCACACTGTGACTCCAGATGACTTTTGGAACACCAGATGGCAGTGTTTCTTAGAGATTTTAAATTGTGGCATGCTGGTTGCTAGTGATCGACTGAGCACAGCGGAGACTTGATAAGTTCAAAAAAGTGAAAAAGTTTAAATACATCAACTGAAGGGAAACTTCAAACATTCTCCCTTCTTCTGATGTTTACTTCACCAGGTCTTGTTTTGTCGCTCAGTTTCTTTTTAGAATCCTTCTTATAACAAAGAAAACCAAAATACACTCGACAGAAGTGAGCCATGTGTCAGAGGCTGCTCAGTGTGAACAAACAGCTGGATCGTTAAATACCAAACCGCAGCAGTGATTAACACTCTGTAATCTTTTAAACAGCAGCAGGAGCTGCGAGTAGACGAATGAAGCGTTCACATGCAACTTGAGCAACCAGGTTCCTCGGAATGAAATCAGGTTGTTCAAATAACCCGCTTCCTGTAAATCCACATGAACACGCAGGTCTGTAACCAGGTTTCCTCTCTGTCGTCTTCTTTATGTTTGGAATCGTTACTCACTTATTTTTCTGTGTTGGAGCAGACTGAGTTTTTTCTCAAGGAGCAAAAAAGCAAATAATTAAGCAGAAACAAAAATTTGGAGCCAGAATCAATTTTCTTCCATTTTAAGCATGAAATAAGAGGCAGCCTGAGTGTGTCTCGTTTACCCAGCTGCTGTCACACTCATCCTGTCTGCAGCCTTCATTCTGTACACGTCTCTGTTAGAATCTGGAAACCACGTGCACACGAGGAGGAAACCTGGCTGTGAATCCAGTGATGTTACAGGAGAAAGTCGACCATAACCCGGTTACTAAAGTGCATGATAACGCTGAACCAGAAGCTGAAGTATCTTTGAGCATGACGAGGACCTGCTACTGAGCTCCGACCTCCCCAGGGAACAGGGAGGGGTTAAAATACAGATGTGCGAACATGTCACCAGTTTGTGCCGAGTTCAGGAATCACTGATCACTGCGTTTAGAAAGACGCTCATATGGAAAAAGACGAGGAGGAAGAACTGAAACAGCGTCATTTCAGAACTGATCATAGCTGTACAACAAAAACATAAGAACCCAAAACAAATATGTACAAATATACAAAAAAATAATCATCAGGATTAAAACAAAAGAAAATATCGATAAAAAAAAAAAGAAAAGAAAAAAGAGACGTCCGACAGTCACTGTGGATCTGAGTCCATGTGCCGACTTTAAGTGCAATCCACAGAAATACACTTTGTGCTTCTGGTTTGGACGGTGAAGTCGTCTCCTCGGCCACAGTGAGGAGGAAGAGCAGCTGGTTGGTTATCTTCATCACTGTTTTCATTTTCCAGGTGGTGTTATTGCAGCGACGTGAACATTAACATCCGCTTCAAATAAAAACTGAAAAAAACAGAAAATGATCCCTTCTTCTCCCTGTTCTGTCACTTTAAGAACCTCTGAAAAAATGCTGATTCATGCAGATGAAGCAGCCATAACTCAGCAAACTGTTCGTATTTAAGATGCACTGACGTGTTTCTTCGCTGTTTTATCTCAGGTAAAGATGCAGTAAAGGTTTCCATAGTTTCATGCTCATCTGAAGGGTTTTATTCCAAAAACTGACATTTATTCTGGTTCCTGCACAACTTCAGTTACTTCGAAACACACGTGTGGAAGAGCGGCTGTGACAGTCGAACCACTTGGACCCAAATCACACTCAGCACCTCACTCTCTCTGTGAAGTTGGAATTTTATTTTTGAAACTAATAAACAAATAAAACAACTTTTAAAAAATTTGTTAATGTATTATAAAGGAATATAAATGAATTAAAAAGGTTTCTGCTGCCATAATAAGTATAGGTCATGTGTTTTTTTTGTGGGGTGTGAGATGAGTCACTTCTGCCTGCAGGTGTTTTACATGTTGCCTGTTTAAAAAGGAACAAAAACCCTTCAGAGTCCCCGCAGGGAAGAGAAACTCCAACTGAAACTGACCACATGAACATCTGTGAGAAAAGCAGAATCCTCTGCCGGCTGCAGTAGGTAGCTCACCAACATTTCCCAAAGCAAGGAGCCTTTCTCCCTGGTTCCGTGACTCATTACATGATCTAGGTCACGGACGCAGACGTCATATAATCAGTAGACGGCGCGTTTCCAATGGAAAGTTATGGTGCTGAAAAAAGAAGGAAGGAAGAAAGGACACGAGGAAAGAAAGAAGGAAGGAAGGAGAGAAAAGGGAGAAGAAAAAAGTTCCAGCAAGGTTTTACAACTCCCCAGATGGGAGGAGCCAAGTTCAGAGAGGGTGCGTTTGTTTTGCGACATGGCATTGCCCTCTGACCTCGGCAAAGGGAAGAGTCACCGACAGGAAGACTGATTTACTGCTGTTCCAGTAAATGCAAACAACCTCACCTGCTGAATCAGGACAAATTAGTGATGGCAAAAGAAAACACAGGGCGGCTCCTGTACTGAAGGATTATTGCATTTGGTTTCATTCTTTCACAGGAGTCGTCCACACAAACATCCCAACGGGAGAACTTTAAACACATTGCAGCCTCTGAACAGATCTTAAATCAAACGTCTTCTCTGACACCAGGGACTAAATGACCTGTAAGTTTACAGAGAGCCACATGTTCTTCTTCTGTTTCCTGATGTCACTGGTTTAAATTCGTTTCATAGTCATGTTGTCCACTAGACAAATTCTATCTGAACACATTTGGTGACATTTACTGCCTGTGGTGAAAACGCACAGGAGATGTTGTTTCTTTCATGCATGCGCTCCGTCACCATTTCTAACGTGCCCCTGGATCTGTCAGACTCATAATACGAGCAGGGATGTTCCTGTTGTTGACATACCAGCATCAAACTCTATTCACCTACACTCCATGTGTGAATTATAACAAGCTCAGAAATTACTGCAGTTTGTTCTACACCAGCTTCTTCAACCTCCATGTCTTTGATTTGCCGACCAGGGTCTGACCGGTCAGGTGGTCTGGAGTTGTTCTCGTTCAGTCCCCGATTCCCTTCGTTCATTTAATCAGATGCTGTTTTCAGACCTGCACTGAAGTACGAACATACTCCTGAAATTATCCAAAGGGTCTTTATGTGAGACCTGCTGCTTCTTCACATGAGAAAGATAAACTACACAAAATGACTGAATATAATTTTCATGTTGAGTTCATGTCTGAAAACAGCTTTACTGATTTTAAAAGTCATGAACCTGAAAGAAAATCTACATTCTCCTCGCTGTGCCCTCAAAAGAATGCATGGCAATTGCGTCTTTTCAACAATGCACAACCGGAACTAAAACTTGGTGATATCCCTGCTGTAAATGTTCAACTGCTCCCTGTTTGATGTGTTTCAGAGTCAAAGTCATCATGTCATCCCTGTTTTTGCAGCTCAACTTTTTTATAAGGCACCGTGTGACCACACTCTAGAAGGTAGAGTTAGTTTTTGGGACAAACATACTGACTGTGAAGACAAGCTTCAGCTGATTTGTCAGAAGCAGCGAAATTACGTTGACAAGAAATGCTGAGTTCAAAGTAATGTCTTCATTTTGTTGTTTATAAAAACGGAGACAGATTTATAAAAGGGCAGAAAAACACCAAACTCTGTTAGAAAAAAGTTTGATGGAATACCTGAAAGACAGAGGAGATAAAGGTTAGAGCCCAAACATTTGCTTTTCCCTGCAGAAGTAACAACAGTCACCTTGTGTAGTTCATGGACAGAAAACAAAAGAATCCTCTAAAAGCTGAAATTAATTTAAGAAGAGGACAGAGGGAGTTGCTCATTAGCACCATTGTTCTGTAGTGATGAACTGCAGCCTAATTAACAGTCCAGTGCGACATTTTCCCTTCCTCCTCACAGTCCTGCTGGTCACCTGGTTAATTCCACATCTCACTGATTTATCACGACGCTCAGGAAAATATTCGTCCCTGCAGGAATTAGAGGGAAGAAAAATAAAACTGTAGGTTTTGCAGGAGCCTCCAAGTCCGACAAAAATTTAATGAATTAATCCTCAGGGGTGGAGTTCATCTCACGGCGGAGCCTGACTCAGTGATCAGAGGAGAAAGAACTCAGGAGCAGAGTATTTCCTCCTCGTCAAGGGGACGGGACAGGCTGCGGGGAGGACGGTGCGTCCCTCAGTCACTGCTGTCGTCTTCATCCTCATCGTCCGACAGGTTGTTGAATTTTGACGCCCCGCGGCCGATGGAGTCTGACCGCGGCGCCAGGCTTCCCGACGTCAGCTGCACGTAGCAGTACTCGCAGACTCGAACAGGTTTGGACGACTGGCTGGGCAGGAGGTACTTCTTATCTGAGCACGGCCCACAGACCACAAAGCCACACTTCCTGCAGTGGTGGCGGCGGCTGACAGGTGTGAACTTCACCTTCTGGCAGCGCATGCACACCGTCGCCTCCGAGTCAGGCACCCAGACGGCGGCGTGCTCTCCAGTAGGTGACTTGCCGCTTTTCTGTAGCAAGTCTCCCACACATTTCCCTATGTGGTTCATCCACTCTGACTTCTCGGTGGCGGTGGCAGCATAGACAGCGAAGGACTTGGTGGGCGTCTTGATGAGCCAGCCGTTGCGCAGGTCGCCCTCGTCCGGCACTGTGTCGATAGTGACACTTTCCAGTGGGATGATGTGCTGCTTGTTGTACTTCTTCTTCTGGATAACAATGTTGCCGTAGACCAAGATGTCGTTGAAGAGGAAGAACTGCCGCGCCTTGGGCTTCTTGCGGCAGAGCTTAGTTAGGACGCCCTCGCCGATCAGAACGCGGCCAGGGATGGCCAGCGGCTGACCTGCAGCGCCAAAGCAGCCCTCCACCACCGCGATGCGCTTGGAATTGGCCTCGCTGTTCGCAAGCCGGTCCACCATCTTCACCTCACCTGAAGGATGAGAGAGACAGAAGGTGAAACATTTTCATCAGCAGCTCGGCTTCATCACTCGTTTCTTTCAAAGATTAAATACATTCATGCCCCTCTGACCGAAAACTGACATTCAGCCAATTTCTCATTGATCCAAAATGACAAGTTAACATAATTATTCTGTTCAATTTATTTGGTTCCAGAGTCAAACGCGATTGACTCATTGGACTGAAACAGAAGGTGATGAAGGAAACAAGACGCCTCGTGCTTGTAACACGACAACAACTTTTAAAGCCTTTTAAAACCCACATGTGATTTAGATCAGACATTCTACAACCAATGTGATCGGATTTCTGTATGAAGCCACCTCCCGCAGTTCAGACATACTCTGCTAAAGCAGATCCGGCGGCACTCAGCCAACATGTGACGTGGTCTTCAGATGTTTGACATGTTGATACCATTGACCTCTGTCAGCTGTGGCTTTGAAAATAACAGTGGAGAGAATTAATGTGTGATTTCAGTCTGAGAACAAATACAGAATAAACTGTGTTAACAAGGATATTCAATCTGCAATCTCGTTGTGCTAGTGTACAAAGTACGACCGTGCAATGACAATAAAGTCTTTTGAATTTGAATATTCAGAGAGCTCATACCTCCACCAAGCCACAACAGTCTCCTTATGAAACCTCATTCAGGCTCATTTGAAAACTCATCAACTCTGCACTCTAGAATTCAATTATGGGTCTGAGACGCCGCCACTGCTGTGACCCAGATGAAGCAGGATAGAGCTCAGTGGCAGTGCCTTCATCACCACCACAATCCCTCCAGCTCTTCTTACAGCACAGTGGAGGAGGTCAGAGCACACTGATGCTATAGATGGGAGCGTGCTAATGGTCTCTGGTGAGAGATGCACACATGCATGATGATGATGTGCGATACATACACACATCAGGGCAAACACGTCAGATGAACCTTAGTTTGATCCTCTCTGACTTGTTCACTCTTGTACAGCTGTGATTACTAGTTCACAGCATTTTATATTTTATGTGATGCTGATATGTTGTTGCTGTGAGGAGGCGGAGTTAAGAGTCAAATCAACTTAATTCAACAAATGTAAATAGCATGTACATCTACTGCTGCTTCTTCAGATGCGAAAGGCAAACTCAACAAATCTAATTCTGATCTAATCATTTCAGCACCACAAAAAATAACTAAATCCACAAATGTGCAAAGTTTAACAGACTCTTCTTCCAGTAAATGAGTTACTGAGTCAATGTGGTGATTTAATTAATGAGATATGTTTGTGGGTGGGACTGCACTTGAACAATCCAGAGCAAAGCTAACTGTGGCACAAGCAAAACAAAGTGTAGGTGTAACAGTGCCTCTTTTCAAAAACCCCAGAGCTGGAAACAATGCTAATTAGTCAGGATGCCACTGCAGCCTGGGCCTGGACTCCCTGGTGATCTGCACACTAATGACCCAGAGTGTGAGCAGCAGCAGAGTGCCCCGGAGATGACAGCAAAGGGGGGGGGGGCTGCCAGGTCAACCCCGTTAGCCAGGGCTCGCTGCCCACCGCCGAGGCAAACAGGCAACCAGCTCAGATCAGCAGAGAGATGAGGGCACGAAGAGCAGAGGCTCCACAGAGAAAGAGAGAGGGAGCGGTGTAAACACAGGCTGGAGGCTCCAACCCAGTAATCAAAACGAGACGGGGGGGGGGGGGCAGACAGAAGAGAGCAGAGAAAACACAGCAACAAAACAGAATGAGCTTTCCTTCATCAACAACAAAACAGACGACAGAGGACAAATAAACATACAACATTGTTACGCCCTTTGATACAAATTCTAATTTGCAAATATAAATAAAATTTGATTGATTGATGATATTTATGAGATTGGAGAGGCTCTGACACAACCGGTAGCATTTATTTTGTAACCCCGCACACTTCCTCTTTAACAGCTCTGACAGGCCTTGAATTTGAAACGGCTCAGTGATTGTCAGAAGAGGCAAACTACACTGATGCTTCTCCACACTTTTTACCACTTGGCCTTTTTCACAGTCACACACAACTTTCCTTGGACTGTAACTGTGCATGTGTGTATTTTTTAAATATGATATATATATATATAATGCTTTTGCCAAAAGGGTTGTGGGGTTTTCAAGTCCTGCACATGACCTGCAGTTAAACCTCCAGTATCACAACAATGAGAAGCCTTGAGAGGGAAGGGAAGCAATGAGTCATACGCTTCAGGGAGAGAGTGACAATGACAAAGACAGGGAGTGAAGAGAGACAGAGTGTTTCTGTGGGCTGTAAACAGCCGCCACAAACACAAGGACATCCATTTATCCTTAGGATAAATATGAGGGCACACACTGTCACAGATGAGGCAGTGTCCAGGGGCGGATATCATGGAGGCATCCAGAGAATAGAGAGGGTTCTCCCCTCTCATTTTTCATTTGGTCTAAAACTGTCCAATCAACAATTTTCTTAATGATAGATGCAACATTTTAGCATTTAAGATTTGAAACATTGAACCCCCCTCTCATTTGCCTCCCAGTGATTTTGTCTTACACACACTCACACACACTTAAAAATGAATTCAGTAAGTCTTAATAAAGATCAGCTCTCCATGAGTAACTAGAATAAAAAATAATGATTAATGATCTTCAGCTCCCATATACATTTTGCCATAAGTTATTATAGGAATTCATTTTAGTTTATTCTGGAATTTATTCAAGACAGAACTTTATTTTTGTTAAAAATGTATTTATTATATTAAAGGGGGAAAACTGGAGCACCCAGAAAAAAACCCCACCTCAATACACTTTGTCTGGGCTAAATTAAGATTAAGATTTCTCTTTATGGTCCCACACACAGCATGCAAACATTTATGATGTTATGTTCCTCAACAGTGCCCAGGAGGTGAACTGGCACCTCTCCAACTTCCCCATATATTGATCAGCGGTTGATTACACTATGCCCTCCCAATAGAGTTTTATCAGTACTGAAATCAGAAAGACAGATATCATGACGAGGGTTTGTGTCCAACTGCAGAAACCCCTGAACCAGTCTCTCTCCACGATCTCTGCGTGCTGCCCCTCCACAATCTCCGAGTCCTGCCCCTCCACGCTCTCTGAGTGCTGCCCCTCCACGATCTCTGCGTGCTGCCCCTCCAYGATATCTGCGTGCAGCCCCTCCATGATATCTGCGTGCAGCCCCTCCATGATATCTGCGTGCAGCCCCTCCGCAATCTCTGTGTGCAGCCCCTCTGCAATCTCTGCGTGCAGCCCCTCTGCAATCTCTGCGTGCAGCCCCTCCGCAATCTCTGCGTTCCGGTTTATGATGTGTACTGCTGAATTTTCTCGCAGTGCTGCTGAATTTTCTCGCAGTGCTGCTGAATTTTCTCGCAGTGCTGCTGAATGTTCTCGCAGTGTTGCGGCATGTTCTATGCGTATCTTCAAGTTCTCCATAGGTTCCATTCTTCTTTGCACGGCCCAAAACTACTGAACTACTTCTTCAACGACCCAAATCAGAATCTGTTTTTCTTCAGGTAGTTTTGATCAAAGTTTGAAAAGGAGGAAGAGTTAAGCACTTTCATAGAGAAACTTCAAAGGCTTTAAACAAAAAGACATCTTTCATTGAAAACAGATTTCCTTTGATCTCACATGTAAAGTCTGTCATGGAATGCCTTTGAGGGCAGTTGTGGCTCAGGGGTTAGAGTGGAGTGGACCAACCAACAAAATGGCGGTTCAACCCAAGTCTCCCTCACTCCACATGTGGAAGTGTCCATGGGATAGAAACTGAACCCCAAATTGCACCTGGCAACTTTGCCAGCAGTGAACTAGTGATGTATGACAGAGAAAGTGCTGCACAGTAGATAAGAGATGTCTCTATAGTAAGATTCGTTGTGATTCGGCCGTGAACGTCTATGCCTTGATGCCGCGACAGAACGCTGCGAATCAGGAGCCCACTGCTGAAAAAATCCCTGCGTCGCTGCTTCAGGATCATGACCAGGCGTGGATATCCTGGGGGTGACAGGGGGGGCTGTCACTCCCACCATGAATTATTCTCTGGAAAAAACAGTGAAAACTTTTGAAAATTGTCCTCAATAAAACATTTTATTTTTTTATCCATTAATCTAACGATTCTTTTTTTTGACGCACATTACGCAAATTACATATTTACGTAATCGATGAAATTGATGCATCACCCTAGCCCTACACCTGATCAAGTACATTTATGTATAAAACACTATACATTGACCTACGCGACAGAGGACAGTTCTTAGTAACAAATATCAACCTTCAGCCTCAAGCTGAGATGAGCTTGAGGCTGTCCTGAAAATGCTACCCTACTGCGATGTGTCAACAACATTCTGTCAATCCACACACAGGATTACGCAACCAAAGTGTGAGCATGCACACAGATAAAGGGATAAGAGGTTAATCTGTTGTGAGAGAAGATGGCATGAAAGCCGAGCCAATGCTCCTGCTCGTAAATTAACTTGAAATAGGATTTCTTTTTTTTAAACAGATTATTGTGCTTTCACACAGCATTTAACTGAGACTGTGGCAACTCACTTCTGGACGGACGAGGAGACCTGGTTCATTCATAACCAAGTACAAGAGATAAATATGTTTAACACTGTGACGTGTAGGTCAACCAAAAGTGGCCCTACAACCACTTGTTGAAAGGGCTACAGCGCCACATAGTGTAGCGGAGTCAGCCATGCACCGGCCATTTATTCAATTCTCTGAACGGCATATATACTCAGACTAGTGACAGCAGTCTGTTCAGTGACAAAATTGGTATATGGCTTAATCGTATCAAGCTATCCCATGTATACATACTGATTGAGGTATCAGCTGTAGCTTACTAAACCTAACACGCCTAGTTTTTCACAAGCAGCTTGATCTAAATACTGGGGGTCCTGCCTCAAATTGTTGATTTTATAAACTTTCATTGAATAAAAGTTTAACTGGGAGAATGTGACTCCTGAAACAGACATGAGGTGATATGCTA